CTCGTGCGTTGGGAGATCTTCGTGGGCTATACTCAGCCTTGTCTCAGGGTAGTTTGTCGATATCCCTCTTCATTGTGTTTTTTTTGTAATAGAAATTAAATATGATCCGTGGATGAATGGTTGAAAAATGTACATTTTACTTTCTTAATTCAGGAAAGGACATACATTGCAATGTTAACACTCATACCTAGAAACATTCAGAGTTTTCTAAGACAATTCATCATACATTTCAGAGGTATTACACAATCATGAGAGGAAAGCTCAGGGATTCAGTTCATCTCTTAGGCCTCCTGTAGCTCAGTTGGTAGAACATGGCGCCCTTCAACGCCAGGTTTGTGGGTTCGATTCCCACAGGGGTGTATTCATTACGCCGATTCTGTTGCGAAACGTTTTGCAACAGAAACGGTTTTACTCCAAAATGGAAAAAACACTTTGCAACGAAAACAAGAGTTTTCTATTGGACAAATTCAGGTAGGTCCCTCCCCGTTTCATGCCGTTTGCTCTGTTTGGTTCCGTTTGGTTCTTAAGCGGTAAAAGTTTTTTGTTGCAAGATGTAATGAATACACCCTTGTCTTTTCCTGTACATCATCATCTGTTTGGTGCATAATGAATATGACCCACGTTTCTGTCACAGCAATTATGTATATGAGTGTTTCATACCGAGGCTCATTATTGTCCAGTGGAAATTATAATAACCCCAAAAAGTTAAAATTAGTGCATATATATCCCACAACAGTTTTCTGAGTAGCTTAAAAAACAGATATTTCACATTATGTATCACTGTCAAATCATAACTGTTCATTTGATAGTTAAAGGCTGTTATATCATGACTGTAAGTCGCTTTGGATAAAAGCGTCTGCTAAATGGCATATTATTATTATTATAACTTGACTGCCATTGTTGAACTTGCTGCTGTTGCAATATGGATGTCTGTGACTGTGTTCTAATGGGCCGTACTCACAGGGCTGTCTGTGCCAAAAAGAGATCAAGAGAGAATAATATGATATATAATATAATAGATATTCCATTTACAATATACACCGAATACACAAAACATTAAGAACACCTGCTCTTTCCATGACATAGACTGAGCAGGTGAATCCAGGTGAAAGCTATGATCCCTTATTGATGTCACTTGTTAAATCCACTTCAAATCAGTGTAGATGAAGGGGAGGAGACCGGTTAAGTCTTCAGACAATTGAGACATGAATTGTGTATGTGTGCCATTCAGAGGGTGAATGGGCAAGGCAAAAGATTGAAGTGCCATTGAACGGGGTATGGTAGTAGGTGCCAGACGCACCGGTTTGACTGTGTCACGCTGAACAGTTTCCTGTGTGTATCAAGAATGGTTCACCACCCAAACGACATCCAGCCAACTTGACACAACTGTGGAGGAGGGGGGGGGGGGGGGGGGGTTTCGTAATGTTTCATCACTCAGTGTATATATTATTATTATTAATATATTATATATTATACTATTCTTACAGAACTACTAAAAACGTAATGCCTTAAAATAAAAAATAAGTTGTTTAATACGGAGTCCATCATTTTACTGTACAGAGACAGACATTAGGTATTTACTAGTACTGTATAGTACATCAAATCTGTACTATACAGTAGATTTGTTACTTGGTTTAAGCATATTTCTCTTCAGGGGCTTCTGAATGAGCCCAAGTGATGTCACAATAGGAGAGCTGCAGAGCATGTATGGTTCAACCCACTGACTGGCTGGCTGACTGGCTGACGGACTGGCTGGCTGACTGACTGACTGACTGACTGGCTGGCTGACTGACTGACTGGCTGACTGACTGACTGACTGACTGACTGACTGACTGACTGACTGACTGACTGACTGACTGGCTGGCTGGCTGCTGGCTGACTGACTGACTGACTGACTGACTGGCTGGCTGGCTGACTGAGAGACTGACTGACTGGCTGGCTGACGGACTGACTGACTGACTGACCAAATTAGCGCTAAGAAAACTTTGAGGACATGTTATTTATGGTTCATCCACATGCGGCAGAGTTTACAATGAATTGTTTACTGATGAATGACAGTATAGGAGTTGGCGTACCCGTTAACACACGACTGTTGAGTCACTACGAGCGGATCAATGATACAGCTACTAACGACACGAACGGCTGAGAGGTACCTGACGACGGATCATGATTTAGCCAGCTAAAAACCACACAACTCTGATGTACATCCACAGATCGAGCCAGCTACTAACACCATAAGTTCTGTAATGTACAGATATAGGCAGATATGAGTTAGCCCGTCTAAACCACACAACGCTCTGAGAGGTACACTACAAAGCAGGATCAATGAGTTAGCCAGCTAAGGTCCAAATGACTCAACACCCAAAAAACACATATCTAAGTTCAGCTTTCTTAAATGAACCAGACAATCAATAGTTATTTCTAGTTGTTTATCAAAGTTAGCTGGCTAACTAATTGATCCTGCTTTGTAATATACCCCCCCCCCCCCGAGGTTAAACCGGGTTATATCTGTTCTGCCATAAGGCATCACTTTGGAAGAAAAACTAAAGATGGTCATTGGGTCACAAGTTGAAGAGAACACGTGACATCATGATTATTGCAGAATAACTTGAAGAAAAGTAAAAAAAAAAATTAATAATAATACAATAATACATGGATTTGGTATCGTCATATAGCTTTTCACAGATTAATCTGGTTTCGGGGTAACTGCTAGTATTTTGTTCAACAACAATACGCCTAAAATATCAAGAAAACCGTTGATCAAGTCTTACCGCATTAAGACTCATTGCATGCGTCCCAAATGGCGCCCTCTTCCCTATATAGTACACTATTTTGACATGAGCCCTTTCATCCCAAAAGTAGTGCACTAAAAATAGGGAACAGGGTGCCATGTGGGACGGTCTGTTCCGTCCTGACCCGAGCTGTGATATGTTTTCTATGCAACTTTACATGTCAACACAGTAACCCACAATACATCACTCTAGGTGAGCAATGGCAGTTGGGACGTTGTTATTTGTAACAATGCTCAATAAATCGTTTGAACTGTTTTTACAACATAGACCACTACATGATGCAGTAGTATCTCGCTAGTCTCAATATTCACGTGATAATTGGACGAGGCTAAGGCAGACTTTAAGACTATCCCCTAAACCAATCAGAGCCCGTCTAGACGGGACGTAGGTTATGGAGCTGGCAGAAAGGAGTAAAACTATTCTACATTATTGTTTGTCGTTATTACTTGCCCTAAACAAAACAAAATGTTCAAACCAACCAACAGACAGTGAAACAACCTTTTGTACAGTGACGTAAACACCAAAATAAAAAGAGGCTCGTCTTGAGATGAGAGAGTAACTAAATGAGATGGATAGAACACAGACAGGCCTGTCAGAGCAGGGACACATTCAGGAAGCCAAATGTTGTGGAACGTTGTAGATAGAAATGTTAAAGAATGGAGTTGACATGATTCCTTCTTCTGCATAACATATTTATACCTGAACGTTCATCAACGTTGTGCCCCCGGCCCCTGCTGATCGCGTCCATAGTAACAGGGAGGAGAGGCCTGGGGGGAAACTACAGGTCACAGACCAAGAGTTCAAGGGTCGAGCTCTCCCCCTCTACCGAAGAACATTGTCCCACAGAGTCCTGGCCAGGAAAGGAGGCCTGGCTGAAGTTGCACCATTACAGAAGCTTTCCCAAAGCTCCTAGGTTTTTCCCAGAAATCCCTTATTCCAATAAACTTCTAACCAACATATTGAAAAATCTGGGAACTCTGGGACAATTTTGGGAACTTTGCAACCGTAGTCGTGGGACACAAAACAAGGTACAGGGGTGGGCTGTCATATCCACTTCATATCTGCTTCCTGGGGGCATCCTCCTATCCTCTAGTGGCTCAGAACGGTCTTCTGCCTTCAGTTATGTCAGGGCTCAGTGTGGAGCCACTGTCCCACCACAGTCGCTCAGCTCAGGGCAGAACAGGCCAGAAGACAGAGCGACCATGTTGTTACGAGGTACAGTATATCCATGTTCCATGATCCATCCATCCACAGTTACGTGTTATTATTATTTTTTTTATGTCGAAACAGTAGTTAATTAATTATTAAAGATTTCAGACCAACTTAAAAAGAACCATGCCTAAAAATAAATAGCATTTCCAAAAAAAAAGGCTATTTTACATTTTACAAATCCAGAGTTTTTGTTGCTGAAAAACAAAAAGTTAAAAGCAGAGGAGTGTTAGTTCAGTTTGTTACAGAGTGGTCATCGTCATAGTGACCACCTTCCTTTTTAACACAGGGTTGGAACCACCCAGAGACGCCCGGAGACCGTTGGGACAGAGTAGGGCAGACCAGAGCAGAACAGACCAGAACAGACCAGAACAGACCAGAGCAGACCAGAGCAGAACAGACCAGAACAGACCAGAACAGACCAGAGCAGACCAGAGCAGGCCAGAGCAGACCAGAACAGACCAGAACAGACCAGAACAGGCCAGAGCAGGCTAACAGTGTGATGCTGACCAACATCAACATCATAGTAGGCTGCTTATTGTGACGAAGCCTCTAGGGCACAGAGACAATTAGGGGTGCAGGCAGAACAGGCAAAGGATTATGGGAAGGACAGATCCCTCCTTCACAGTCCGAGCCTCAGGTCAGAGGCAGCGCTAGATCAATAGTTGGAAGGGAGAGTTACCAGTAGTTAGTGTCCCTGATTTGCCATCATAAAGTGTGGATTCAGAGTCATTTAGTAGATAAATGTTCCTGTGTTAGTTAATAGACTACCTCTCTCTCTCCCTCCAGGAAGAGTAAAAGGCCTAAGAAAACTATTTGTGTTGCCGTGTTAGTTAGTGTAGACAGAGAAATAGTCCCTCTCCGTTTAGGTCTTTAAGGTTAGTGGTCTCTCTATGTCTTCTAGAGCCGTCCGTCAGTCCGTTTCAGCTCCGTTTCAGCTCCGTTTCAGCTCCGTTCACTAGGTCAGTGATCCATTCGGTCGGAGAGACGTTACACCTTAGTTTCTGCCATCACAGTCTCTGCCTCTGCTTCTCTCTCCCCGTCCTCCGTCTCCGTCCTGACGACCGTCTCCGGCGTCCCCTGACGTCAGTGCCGCACCTCGTTAGCGAGGAGACTGTCCTCGCCGCTCTGGAAGGAGACGGGGATTTATTGTCAAGAGAAACGCCACAAGGACACACACACACACACACACACACACACACACACACACCCAGGGGTTGGAAGGTAAGCTGCAGTGCAGCACCCCCCGGAGCAATTGCAAGAATTGAAGTGCCTTTTCTCAAGGGCAGGCTACCTGGAAGTCGGCCTCGTTGAGGCTGTTCCCCACTTGGATGATCTCCTCATCCTGCGAGCCCTCACTAACCCCGCTGCCAGCTGAACCCAGCTCGTCTAAGATGGGGTCCTGGAGGACGGAGGCAATGTACATCTGCTGTTGTAGAGAAAGAGGAAGAGAGGGGGAGTGGAAGGAGAGGGGGAGGGGACAAATGGAGGAGAAAACAGGTCAGTGTGTGATATGGAGGGAGAGGTGGTCTAGTCTAGGCTGAGTGAATGGTACTTACTGCTGACTTATTGGAGGGAGAGGTGCGTGCTGGACGACCGTTCTCCACACCATCCACATTTTCAACGTCAATCTGGGGAGAAAATATTATAATACAATTATATATATATATATATATAGAAACTCAGCAAAAAAAGAAACGTCCCTTTTTCAGGACCCTGTCTTTCAAATATATTTTGTAAAAATCCAAATAACTTCACAGATCTTCATTGTAAAGGGTTTAAACACTGTTTCCCATGCTTGTTCAATGAACCATAAACAATTAATGAACATGCACCTGTGGAACGGTCGTTAAGACACTAACAGCTTACAGACGGTAGGCAATTAAGGTCACAGTTATGAAAACTTAGGACACTAAAGAGGCCCTTCTACTGACTCTGAAAAACACCAAAAGAAAGATGCCCAGGGTCCCTGCTCATCTGCGTGAACGTGCCTTAGGCATGCTGCAAGGAGGCCTGAGGACTGCAGATGTGGCCAGGGCAATAAATTGCAATGTCCGTACTGTGAGACGTCTAAGACAGCGCTACAGGGAGACAGGACGGACAGCTGATCATCCTCGCAGTGGCAGACCCTGTGTAACAACACCTGCACAGGATCGGTACATCCGAACATCACACCTGTGGGACAGGTACAGGATGGCAACAACAACTGCCTGAGTTACACCAGGAATGTACAATCCCTCCATCAGTGCTCAGACTGTCCGCAGTAGGCTGAGAGAGGCTGGACTGAGGGCTTGTAGGCCTGTTGTAAGGCAGGTCCTCACCAGACAGACATCACCGGCAACAACGTCACCTGTGGGCACAAACCCACCGTCGCTGGACCAGACAGGACTGGCAAAAAGTGCTCTTCACTAACGAGTCGCGGTTTTGTCTCAGCAGGGGTGATGGTCGGATTCATGTTTATCGTCGAAGGAATGAGCGTTACACCGAGGCCTGTACTCTGGAGCGGGATCGATTTGGAGGTGGAGGGTCCGTCATGGTCTGAGGCGGTGTGTCACAGCATCATCGGACTCTGCCGGTCTGTAGCTTTGTTGTCCCCAATGTCTGCTGCTTGACCTTGTTCTTATGAACCGCCGTCTTTGAAATTTTAAGGATGGAAGCAACCTGACGCTCACTGTATCCCTCTGCCAGTAAAGCCAGAATTGAACCCTTCTTTTCCTCACTCAAAAGTTTATTTTTCAACTTTTTTGGCATGGTCAATAGTTATTTTTGGATTAATTTTACTTTTAAGGTACTATTAGCACGGTTTTTGCCATCCAGCTGGTCCTATTGCAAGAGGATCGTGATGACCACAGCAGTGGTTTTTATACTTTTTCTCGTTAAATAAGATTTGGTTCATGTGATCACCTAATCAGTACCTAATTCAGTAGAATGAGGTGTGCCTGTGTTGGAATTCAACAGACACTGGAATGGAATGGCTGTCATACATGTAGAGATGCTGATTTAAGAAACATTTGCAATGGTCTCTTAATTTTTTCCAGAGCTGATATATATATATATACACAGTGGGGGAAAAAAGTATTTAGTCAGCCACCAATTGTGCAAGTTCTCCCACTTAAAAAGATGAGAGAGGCCTGTAATTTCCATCATAGGTACACGTCAACTATGACAGACAAAATGAGGAAAAAAAATCCAGAAAATCACATTGTAGGATTTTTTATGTATTTATTTGTAAATTATGGTGGAAAATAAGTATTTGGTCAATAACAAAAGTTTCTCAATACTTTGTTATATACCCTTTGTTGGCAATGACACAGGTCAAACGTTTTCTGTAAGTCTTCACAAGGTTTTCACACACTGTTGCTGGTATTTTGGCCCATTCCTCCATGCAGATCTCCTCTAGAGCAGTGATGTTTTGGGGCTGTCGCTGGGCAACACGGACTTTCAACTCCCTCCAAAGATTTTCTATGGGGTTGAGATCTGGAGACTGGCTAGGCCACTCCAGGACCTTGAAATGCTTCTTACGAAGCCACTCCTTCGTTTCCCGGGCGGTGTTTTTGGGATCATTGTCATGCTGAAAGACCCAGCCACGTTTCATCTTCAATGCCCTTGCTGCTGGAAGGAGGTTTTCACTCAAAATCTCACGATACATGGCCCCATTCATTCTTTCCTTTACACGGATCAGTCGTCCTGGTCCCTTTGCAGAAAAACAGCCCCAAATCATGATGTTTCCACCCCCATGCTTCACAGTAGGTATGGTGTTCTTTGGATGCAACTCAGCATTCTTTGTCCTCCAAACACGACGAGTTGAGTTTTTACCAAAAAGTTTTTGCAAATAAATTCATAAAAAATCCTACAATGTGATTTTCTGGAAAAAAAATTCTCAATTTGTCTGTCATAGTTGACGTGTACCTATGATGAAAATTACAGGCCTCTCTCATCTTTTTAAGTGGGAGAACTTGCACAATTGGTGGCTGACTAAATACTTTTTTCCCCCACTGTATATAATGCCACTGCAGAACATTCACAGTGATGACTTAAACTATATCAGAAGGCCTTTAATAGGGATCTGACAAATGGACAATTTTGCTTAACGTTTAAAACGGCAAAAAATAAATTATCGGTTTTCCGTTAAAACTATAAGAAAAAAAATCATAAATAATTTCACTTGCAATTCACAAAATGTAGAATAATTAATATTATATAATACATGACTATAATGGCTACTAGGTTCTATCTAGCGCAACCTTTTACAGACATAGAACATAGCTACAGTAACAAGTCGATAGCGATTATTTATAACTTTTCAAAAAATAATAAAAAAGTGCTGCATCAGACGAGTCTGTACCTTTTCAGAGAGTAGAACTCGGCTCTGGCATACACTATATATACAAAAGTATGTGTGACAACCCTTCAAATTAGTGTATTCGGCAATTTCAGCCACACCCGTTACTGACAGGTGTATAAAATCGAGCACACAGCCATGCAAACTCCATAGGGAAACATTGGCTGTAGAATGGCCTTACTGAAGAGCTCAGTGACTTTCAACGTGGCACCGTCCTAGGATGCCACCTTTCCAACAAGTCAGTTCGTCAAATTTCTGCCCTGCTAGAGCTGCCCTGGTCAACTGTAAGTGCTGTTATTGTGAAGTGGAAACGTCTAGGAGCAACAACGGCTCAGCTGCAAAGTGGTAGGCCACACAAGCTCACAGAACGGGACCGCCGAGTGCTGAAGTGCATAGCTCGTAAAAATCGTCTGTCCTCGGTTGCAACACTCACTACCAAGTTCCAAACTGCCTCTGGAAGCAACGTCAGCACAAGAACTGTTCGTTGGGAGCTTCATGAAATGGGTTTCCATGGCCAAGCAGCTGCACACAAGCCTAAGATCACCATGCGCAATGCCAAGCGTTGGCTGGAGTGGTGTAAAGCTCGCCACCATTGGACTCTGGAGCAGTGGAAACACGTTCTCTGGAGTGATGAATCACACTTCACCATCTGGCAGTCCGGCGGACTAATCTGGGTTTGGCGGATGCCAGGAGAACGCTACCTGCCCCAATGCATAGTGCCAACTGTAAAGTTTGGTGGAGGAGGAATAATGGTCTGGGGCTGTTTTTCATGGTTCGCGCTAGGCCCCTTAGTTCCAGTGAAGGGAAATCTTAACGCTACAGCATACAATGACATTCTAGACGATTCGGTGCTTCCCTCTTTGTGGCAACAGTTTGGAGAAGGCCCATTCCTGTTTCAGCATGACAATGCCCCCGTGCACAAAGCGAGGTCCATACAGAAATGGTTTGTTGAGATCAGTGTGGAAGAACTTGACTGGCCTGCACAGAGCTCTGACCTCAATCAGAACGTCGACTGCGAAACCAAGCCTAGTTGCCAAACATCAGTGCAGGACCTCACTAATGCTCTTGTGGCTGAATGGAAGCAAGTCCCCACAGCAATGTTCCAACATCTAGTGGAAAGCCTTCCCAAAAGAGTGGAGGCTGTTATAGCAGCAAAGGGGGGACCAACTCCATATTAATGCCCATGATTTTGGAATGAGATGTTCGACGTGCACGTACTTTTGTCATATAGTGTATAATGTTCTATTGTTTCCCTGACAACAATTAACATCCCTGATTGATGTGTTGCTGTGTTGTTTTTAATACCGTTTTTTAATGGTACGATAGCTAGATGTGTTTTATTTCTACTAAATGTATTGGTGCGTCAATCTAAGTAACAAAATAAAAGAATCCCCATCAAAAATCCGTCAGTTTAAGGTAGAGATATGTCAGACTTCCGCATCGGCGGTGAAAGGTGGCAGAGCTAAAGCTGTGTTTGTCAGACCATGAGACGTCCCAAAAAAAAACGGTCTTCTCACAAAAACGTCTGTAGCGTCCGAACGGTTGGGATACATACTAATCGACCCCAACATTGGAAAGGGGAGACTCTCACAAACACGACGTTGTTCTCCGTTTTGCTCTACGCATCCCACAAGTGTCACGGGACTCGTCTGAAGGTAACCGGTACAAACAAATGGAAGTATGGAGGTAGTTTTGTGGCAACAAAGGGGCTAAACATGTGTCCCAAAAAAATGTAATAATCCAGATCTCTTATATCTCCTAGAGACAGACACTTCAAAACCTTATTCCTTAAGATTCATTTTTTTACTGTCCAAATTCAATATTTTTATCAAAATGCCTAAAGGGGTCCTACAATTCTAAAATCAAATATTTAAAATGATCCATGTTATGACCATCTTAAAACAATTCCATATATGTTAGCTAGGATATTCTACAGGCAACAGACCGAAGACTGAACCCCACACACTCGCATCATTAGCGGAGAGAAAGAGCAGGCCAGTGTGAGGGAGAGAGAGAGGAGGGGGGCAGGCAGAAACGTGCGCATTGGTCTTAGTCATCGTTCGTTGTCTTGCATGCCTCTCAAATTCACCCCCAGCAGCCTAAAGTTCACCTCTTCCTCTCTGGAATTACCCAACTTCCCCCAGGCATTTACAGCCCATTATCTAGTTAGGCTCCAACAAGGGAAAATAATATATGTTTTGTGATAACTGCACTGTCATTTTAATTATGTGGGGAAAAACATTGTTTATCAGTGAAGGATTTTTCCTCGACGTTAACGATCCCAACTTTGTTTTAACGTTTAAAAATGTTCACACCCCTAAGTTTCCCCCCCCATGAGATTTACTGCTCTAGCACATAGATTTATTTTAAGATTGTAGTAACATACACGTGTCTATAAATGCATGACATGCAAGGGATGTAGCTCAGTTGGTAGAGCATGGCGTTTGCAACGCCAGGGTTGTGGCTTTGATTCCCATGGGGGGGGGGGCAGTATGAAAAAATAAAAATTATGTATGCACTCACTAACTGTAAGTCGCTCTGGATAAGAGCGTCTGCTAAATGACTAAAATGTAAATGTAAATGTAATGTCTCATACTGCATACAGGATCGTAATTGTGCAAGATAATGTGTTCTCAATTACTTTCCTGGTTAAATAAATCAAATATAAAACACTTCAACATTATAAATAAGAAGAGTCTCTCTTGCTGGTGTTTTTTTTTACTTGTAGTTGTGAGCGCTGAGATATTTGAAGTGTCCGAAGCAGACATGGGACAAGCAGACGATGATGGTGATGACCAGAACAATGAAGGTAAACATAGAGGTTAAGGGGCGGAGAAAACGCTGAGAGGAGAGAGGAGAGATAAGGAGAGAGAGAGAGAAAGAGAAGAAGAGAGAAAGAGAGAAAGAGAAAGAGAGAAGAGGAGAGAAAGAGAGAGAGGAGAGAGAGAGAACAGAGAGACAGAGAGAGAGAGAGACAGAGAAAGAAGAGAGAGAGAGAGAAGGAAAGAGAGAGAGAGAAAGAGAGAGAGAGAGAGAGAGAGGATCAACATGGTCAGTAAGATGCGTTCCCTATGGACCCTAGTCAAAAGCAGTGCACTACATGTCCCATTTGTGACACACCCTTTTTAAAAAGAGACAGTCTGTTATGACCCAGAATGGCCGCTAGATGGTGACCTCGTACCTGTGCGGACAGTGGAGAAGAACAGGAGCCAGAAGAGACAGAGGATGGGTGCTGCCACCACCTGGTTGACGGCCCCAGAGTGGATCTTCTTGTCCAGCTTGGAGGGAAGGTAGGCATAGTACATGTTGTAGCGGTCTGCCAGGTGCTTCAACAGCATGTACATAAGACCTGGGGGGGAGAGCGAGAGAGAGAGCGAGAGAGTGAGTGAGTGATGGGTCCTCTCCCTACAGGCGTCCTCCCTCTACAGGCTTCCTCTCCCTACGGGGTCCTCTCCCTACAGGTCCTCTCCCTACAGGCGTCCTCTCCCTACAGGCGTCCTCTCCCTACAGGCGTCCTCTCCCTACAGGGTCCTCTCCCTACAGGCGTCCTCTCCCTACAGGCGTCCTCTCCCTACAGGTGTCCTCTCCCTACAGGGGCCTCTCCCTACAGGCGTCCTCCCTCTACAGGGGTCCTCCCTCTACAGGTCCTCTCCCTACAGGCGTCCTCTCCTACAGGTGTCCTCTCCCTACAGGTGCTCCTCTCCCTACAGGGTCCTCTCCCTACAGGGGTCCTCTCCCTACAGGGGTCCTCTCCCTACAGGGTTCCTCTCCCTACAGGGGTCCTCTCCCTACAGGCGTCCTCTCCCTACAGGCGTCCTCTCCCTACAGGCGTCCTCCCTCTACAGGGGTCCTCCCTCTACAGGGGTCCTCTCCCTACAGGGTCCTCTCCCTACGGGCGTCCTCTCCCTACAGGCGTCCTCTCCCTACGGGCGTCCTCTCCCTACAGGCGTCTCCCTCTCCCTCAGGCCCTCTCCGTCCTCTCTACAGGCGTCCTCTCCCTACAGGTCCTCTCCCTACAGGCGTCCTCTCCCTACAGGCTTCCCTAGCCTCCCTCAGGTCCCTCCCTACAGGGTCCTCCCCTACAGGTCCTCTCCCTACAGGGTCCTCTCCCTACAGGCGTCCTCTCCTCATCAGGATTGCCTGCTCCCGATATGGTCTATCCCTTATCTCTCATGCTTAAAGAGCGTCCTGCCCTACACTGTGCTCTCTTACGGTCCTCTCCTATCATGGGTACTCAGAACCTAGTCAGGCTACATCTCACTACATGGGTCCTACCGCTACATGGAGTCCTCTCAAGGTCCTCCCGACGGGGCTCATCCCTACAGTGGGCTTACCTACAGGGTCTGTCCCTAAGGATCGTCTCCCGTGAAGGATGAAGTCCTCTCTCAGTTCTTCTCCCTACGCCCTCCACTACAGGGGTTCTCCCTAGTCAGGGTCTCCCTACGGCGACAAATCTACAGGTCCCAAGGCGTACTCTCCCTACAGGCGTCCTCCCTGTACAGGCGTCCTCTCCCTACGGGGGTCCTCTCCCTACAGGCGTCCTCTATTCATGCATGGAATATTGACTGTCAGATATTGACTTTATCATTATTCTCTCATAGCTGTAAAGGAGCCTGCCTGTCACTGTGCTCTGTTTGTTCTCTGTGGCAGTGGTACTCAGAGGCTGAGTGACAGAGAATCCTAGTCATGGCTAAATAACATGTTAAAACTGATGGAGATGCGCAGAAAGAACAGACGGCGAGAAGCAGCTGAGTAGGCTAATGGCTGGTTAGAGGATGCGTCTGTCACGTGATATTGGATGAAGCACTCAAAATCTGCATACTTTTCGCAAGACACCCAAAACAAAAAAGTGGCGAGTTTGCATCCCTGAGTTAGGTTACGGCGAAAAATAACATATTACTTTAGCTAGGAAAGCTTTGGGAAAGCCAGGACAATGCGTCACCTCATAAAGCCAGTTAGTAACAGTGGAGCTCAGCTCACCGAAGGGGACAATGATTGGACAGGTGATGCTGTAGGTCATGACCACAGTGAAGACACACATCATCCAGGCGTAGGCTGCCCCGAACTGGAACTCATAGGCCTGGTGCTGCAGAGCATAGAAATAGAGTTATAGAACTGGAACTCATAGGCCTGGTGCTGCAGAGCATAGAAATAGAGTTATAGAACTGGAACTCATAGGCCTGGTGCTGCAGAGCATAGAAATAGGGTTATATAACTGGAACTCATAGGCCTGGTGCTGCAGAGCATAGAAATAGAGTTATAGAACTGGAACTCATAGGCCTGGTGCTGCAGAGCATAGAAATAGAGTTATAGAACTGGAACTCATAGGCCTGGTGCTGCAGAGCATAGAAATAGAGTTATAGAACTGGAACTCATAGGCCTGGTGCTGCAGAGCATAGAAATAGAGTTATAGAACTGGAACTCATAGGCCTGGTGCTGCAGAGCATAGAAATCGAGTTATAGAACTGGAATTCATAGGCCTGGTGCTGCAGAGCGTAGAAATAGAGTTATAGAACTGGAACTCATAGGCCTGGTGCTGCAGAGCATATAAATAGAGTTATAGAACTGGAACTCATAGGCCTGGTGCTGCAGAGCATAGAAATAGAGTTATAGAACTGGAACTCATAGGCCTGGTGCTGCAGAGCATATAAATAGGGTTATAGAACTGGAACTCATAGGCCTGGTGTTGCAGAGCATAGAAATAGAGTTATAGAACTGGAACTCATAGGCCTGGTGCTGCAGAGCATAGAAATAGAGTTATAGAACTGGAACTCATAGGCCTGGTGCTGCAGAGCATAGAAATAGAGTTATAGAACTGGAACTCATAGGCCTGGTGCTGCAGAGCATAGAAATAGAGTTATAGAACTGGAACTCATAGGCCTGGTGCTGCAGAGCATAGAAATAGAGTTTATAGAACTGGAACTCAAAGGCCTGGTGCTGCAGAGCATAGAAATAGAGTTATAGAACTGGAACTCATAGGCCTGGTGCTGCAGAGCATAGAAAGAAATAGAGTATTCTAGAACTGGAACTCATAGGCCCTGGGTGCTGCAGAGCATAGAAATCAGAGTTATAGAACTGGAACTCCATAGGCCCTGGTGCTGCAGAGCATAAGAAATAGAGTATAGAACTTGGGAACTCATAGGCCTGGTGCTGTAGAAGATAGAAATAGAGTTATAGAACTGGAACTCATAGGCTGGTGACCGGAGAGCATAGAAAATAGAGTTATAGAAACTGGAAAACTCATAGGCCTGGTGATGCAGAGCATAGAAACTAGAGTTATAGAACTGGGAACTCAGCAGGGTGGCCATGGTGCTGCAGAGCATCAGAAATTAGAGTTATAGAACTGGAACTCATAGCCTGGTGCTGCAGAGCATAGAATATAGAGTTATAGAACTGGAACTCATAGCCTGTTGCTGCAGATGCATAGAAATATAGTTATAGAACTGGAACTCATAGGCCTGGTGCTGCAGAGCGATAGAAATAGAGTTATAGAACTGGAACTCATAGGCCTGGTGCTGCAGAGCATAGAAATAGAGTTATAGAACTGGAACTCATAGGCCTGGTGCTGCAGAGCATAGAAATAGAGTTATAGAACTGGAACTCATAGGCCTGGTGCTGCAGAGCATAGAAATAGAGTTATAGAACTGGAACTCATAGGCCTGGTGCTGCAGAGCATAGAAATAGAGTTATAGAACTGGAACTCATAGGCCTGGTGCTGCAGATCATAGAAATAGAGTTATAGAACTGGAACTCATAGGCCTGGTGCTGCAGAGCATAGAAATAGAGTTATAGAACTGGAACTCATAGGCCTGGTGCTGCAGAGCATAGAAATAGAGTTATAGAACTGGAACTCATAGGCCTGGTGCTGCAGAGCATAGAAATAGAGTTATAGAACTGGAACTCATAGGCCTGGTGCTGCAGAGCATAGAAATAGAGTTATAGAACTGGAACTCATAGGCCTGGTGCTGCAGAGCATAGAAATAGAGTTATAGAACTGGAACTCATAGGCCTGGTGCTGCAGAGCATAGAAATAGAGTTATAGAACTGGGAACTCATAGGCCTGGTGCTGCAGAGCATAGAAATAGAGTTATAGAACTGGAACTCATAGGCCTGGTGCTGCAGAGCATAGAAATAGAGTTATAGAACTGGAACTCATAGGCCTGGTGCTGCAGAGCATAGAAATAGAGTTATAGAACTGGAACTCATAGGCCTGGTGCTGCAGAGCATAGAAATAGAATATTAGAATGAACTCATTTCGTTTGGTGCTGCAGAGCATAGAAAGTACGCTTGGGGATGCAGAGAATAACAGGAGGATGTTATCATATGTCCTTAGGGAAGCCTCAGTTCAACAAAATGTCCTGATATAAGTGGCACTCTGGCAACTTTGAAAAAAAAAACTAATTGTATTTCAGAGTTGTGTCTGTTGTTCACATGCGTATCTGCCTTTCATTGGCTAGAATTATTCTGTGTAATCCCGCCTCCTCCCCCTGCCTTCCGCTTTTGACGACATGTATTCTAGTTGTTGTAGCGGTCAGTAGACTATCTTGTCACTTTGATATAACTACGTGCATCTTAGTTGTGAGTTTATTATGAGATCGCGTGACGACGTCTTCCTGACCACCAGGTGGCGCTCCGCTACACTCACCCTCTTGACGTTGCGTCTCTCGGCAGCAGAGCGGGCCAGACACAGCCGGGTCATGTACATGAGCAGACCAGGGATCCTCAGCAGATCCATGGCGTTACCGATGAACGCCGACGCGATGACATAGTTCACAAAGAACGCCCCGTTGTCCGGCAGGAACACACACCTGGGGGGGGAGACAGGAAATGACATCATCACAACAATAACATACCTTTTTTTCACACTGTGGTGCCAACCAGAACCATACTATGCTGGATTGGATATGTTCTGTTCTATTGACATGATCATCAGAAACGACGCCCGGTACGGTTCGGGTCGGGTCGGCACAATATTGTGAAAGGGGTTATTAGAGACTAACTCCCTCCTGAAGGACCAAACCAAACCCAAACAACAGGCAGATCCATAAGGACACAATATGATGAGAGAATATGGAAGCTGTTCTGATGGTGCCAGAGGAGATCATTGTTACCTGACAAACAAGGCTAAGATAAGAAATACATCACAACAAGAAAATTACTCACTGAATCTCAGACCCTAGGCACTTGTGTGGATCTGAGACAATTATTATTTGAATAGTTGTGGTAACTCATTGTAACCCTGCTGGCCAGGTGTGTTGTAGCCATAGTTAACCAGACTCTAACCCCCTCCCTCTACCAGACTCCAACCCCCTCCCTCTACCAACTCCACCCTCCCTCTACCAGACTCCAACCCCCCTCCCTCTACCAGACTCCAACCCCCTCCCTCTACCAGACTCCAACCCCCTCCCTCTACCAGACTCCAACCCCCCTCCCTCTACCAGACTCCAACCCCCTCCCTCTACCAGACTCCAACCCCCTCCCTCTACCAGACTCCAACCCCCTCCCTCTACCAGACTCCAACCCCCTCCCTCTACCAGACTCCAACCCCCTCCCTCTACCAGACTCAACCCCCTCCCTCTACCAGACTCCAACCCCCTCCCTCTACCAGACTCCAACCCCCTCCCTCTACCAGACTCCAACCCCCTCCCTCTACCAGACTCCAACCCCCCTCCCTCTACCAGACTCCAACCCCCTCCCTCTACCAGACTCCAACCCCCTCCCTCTACCAGACTCCAACCCCCTCCCTCTACCAGACTCCAACCCCCTCCCTCTACCAGACTCCAACCCCCTCCCTCTACCAGACTCCAACCCCCCTCCCTCTACCAGACTCCAACCCCCTCCCTCTACCAGACTCCAACCCCCTCCTCTACCAGACTAACCCCCTCCCTTACCAGACTCAACCCCTCCCTCTACCAGACTCCAACCCCCTCCCTCTACCAGAACTCCAACCCCCTCCCTTACCAGACTCCAACCCCCTCCCTCTACCAGAACTCAACCCCCTCCCTCTACCAGACTCTAACCCCCTCCCTCTACCAGACTCCAACCCCTCTCTCTACCAGACTCCAACCCCCTCCCTTACCAGACTCCAACCCCCCCCTCTACCAGACTCCAACCCCCTCCCTCTACCAGACTCCAACCCCCTCCCTCTACCAGACTCCAACCCCCTCCCTCTACCAGACTCCAAACCCCCTCCCTCTACCAGACTCCAACCCCCTCCCTCTACCAGACTCCAACCCCCTCCCTCTACCAGACTCCAACCCCCTCCCTCTACCAGACTCCAACCCCCTCCCTCTACCAGACTCCAACCCCCTCCTCTACCAGACTCCAACCCCCTCCCTCTACCAGACTCCAACCCCCTCCCTCTACCAGACTCCAACCCCCTCCCTCTACCAGACTCCAACCCCCCCCTCACCAGACTCCAACCCCCTCCCTCTACCAGACTTCCAACCCCTCCCTCTACCAGACTAACCCCCTCCCTCTACCAGACTCCAACCCCCTCCCTCTACCAGACTCCAACCCCCTCCTCTACCAGACTCTAACCCCCTCCCTCTACCAGACTCCAACCCCCTCCCTCTACCAGACTCCAACCCCCTCCCTTACCAGACTAACCCCCTCCCTCTACCAGACTCAAACCCCTCCCTCTACCAGACTCCAACCCCCTCCCTCTACCAGACTAACCCCCTCCTCTACCAGACTCTAACCCCTCCCTCTACCAGACTCCAACCCCCTCCCTCTACCAGACTAACCCCACTCCCTCTACCAGACTCCAACCCTCCCTCTACCAGACTCCACCCCTCTCTAAGATTAATCCCCTACAGAGGTCCAAGCCCTCCTTTGCCAGACTCAACCCCTCTTCCCACACTCCAACCCCCTCCCTCTACCAGACTCCAACCCCCCTCCCTCTACCAGACTCCAACCCCCTCAAACTTAGATCCTTGAAGCCAGTTTCACTGCTTTTTTTCCCCCATTCATCCCCATCTAATCAGGACTGATTTAGACTTGGGACACCAAGTGGTGCAATTAAATGGTCAGCATTCCGGACCTTGTGGGGTAAGATTTGAATACCCCTGGACTAGAGGGGTATTGGCTAGGTTTGCTAGGGGTTCAGCTCTTCCTAAAATACTATATTAAAACAAAAAGAACAGCTAGTTCCATAACGGCCACATCAGAGAATATGGAAAGCTGTTCTGATTATAGATCATTGGAAGATAGATAACTGTTACAAGCACCACTAAAATAAGACTAACAACTTTATGAGCCAGAACATGGCCAGCAGAGACCACAGTGCACGAAGGTAAAAGGTTCAAAGCTCCCTAGATGGCAGGAAACTAGGACGAAACCTAGAGAGGAACCAGGAACCGCTACTTACTCAAACCGCACAGCAGCATCGGCCAGGAAGCGCCTGTCAAACAGCCATCGGAAGAAAACGTCCAGACTGGAATTAAAAAAAAAGGAAACAGTTGAGTTCTTAGAGCGATAGAGGAGATGGAGGATGATGATCGTATACGAGACTCCATGGGGTCATAAAGGGGACAGATTACAAACATTCAAATAATGGGACATGAAGCGTCTCTGCTTGGCACTCAGCATTAAGGAGATGGATTGGGGGTAAGGCCCTGTGATAGACTAGTGTCCTGTCCAGGGTGTGTACTGTACATCAAGCTGTCTCACTACAGAAACAGGAGATAGACTAGTGTCATTTTACATTTACATTTTAGTCATTTAGCAGACGCTCTTATCCAGAGCGACTTACAGTTAGTGAGTGCATACATTTTTCATACTGGCCCCCCGTGGGAAACGAACCCACAACCCTGGCGTTGCAAGCGCCATGCTCTACCAACTGAGCTACAGGGAACCTACAGTGTCCTGTCCAGGGGGTGTCCTGTACATCAAGCTGTCTCACTACAGAAACAGGAGATAGACTAGTGTCCTGTCCAGGGGGTGTCCTGTACATCAAGCTGTCTCACTACAGAAACAGGAGGTAGACTAGTGTCCTGTCCAGGGGGTGTCCTGTACATCAAGCTGTCTCACTACAGAAACAGGAGATAGACTAGTGTCCTGTCCAGGGGGTGTCCTGTACATCAAGCTGTCTCACTACATAAACAGGAGATAGACTAGTGTCCTGTCCAGGGGGTGTCCTGTACATCAAGCTGTCTCACTACAGAAACAGGAGATAGACTAGTGTCCTGTCCAGGGGGTGTCCTGTACATCAAGCTGTCTCACTACAGAAACAGGAGATAGACTAGTGTCCTGTCCAGGGGGTGTACTGGTACATCAAGCTGTCTCACTACAGAAACAGGAGATAGACTAGTGTCCTGTCCAGGGGGTGTCCTGTACATCAAGCTGTCTCACTACAGAAACAGGAGATAGACTAGTGTCCTGTCCAGGGGGTGTCCTGTACATCAAGCTGTCTCACAACAGAAACAGGAGATAGACTAGTGTCCTGTCCAGGGGGTGTACTGTACATCAAGCTGTCTCACTACAGAAACAGGAGATAGACTAGTGTCCTGTCCAGGGGGTGTACTGGTACATCAAGCTGTCTCACTACAGAAACAGAGATAGACTAGTGTCCTGTCCAGGGGTGTACTGGTACATCAAGCTGTCTCACTACAGAAACAGGAGATAGACTAGTGTCCTGTCCAGGGGGTGTCCTGTACATCAAGCTGTCTCACTACGAAACAGGAGATAGACTAGTGTCCTGTCCAGGGGGTGTACTGTACATCAAGGTGTCTCACTACAGAAACAGGAGATAGACTAGTGTCCTGTCCAGGGGGTGTACTGTACATCAAGCTGTCTCACTACAGAAACAGGAGATAGACTAGTGTCCTGTCCAGGGGGTGTACTGTACATCAAGCTGTCTCACTACAGAAACAGGACATAGGCTCCTGCCCTATGGGCCGTTCTGGCTTGCGCAAGGCTTCTTATTGGATTCAGTACATTTTAGTCCAGGGCTAGGCCAGTGTCTGTGTTCGGGAAACTGGCCCAAAATGTTGACTACTAGCTATGTAGTGAATGAACATATAGGTAGGTAGAAGAGTTGACTGGCTGAATAAGTAAGCAAGTGGTCCTCTGTAGCATGGCGCTTGCAACGCCAGGATAGTGGGTTCGATTCCCGGGACCACCCGTAAGTAAAATATATGCTATATATTATTATTATTATTATTATTATTATTATTATTATTATTAATGAAGACATGCAGTACCTGCTGAGTCCTAGAGAGGGCAGAAGTAAGACCATGAAGATCAGAAAGGTGTAGCATTTATGCATGGTGGTCCTGTTCTCTCCAGACCTATTGGAATAAATGGAAAGTCAAAAGGATCAACATTACACTGAGAAATACAAAAATACAAGGGCTCTCTGTATGGCTTTACGAGGTAAGCGAGGTCCCAGATCAGTTTGTGCTGTTTTTGCCAATTTCTACACGCTGACCATAGGAGTTGGAAAGACGGCACAAACAGATCTGGAACCAGGCTATCCAGGTGACAATAGAGAATACTTAGAGAATGATATAATGCATCTCTTCATTCATCATATTATACATACAGCACACAAACATCCACTGACGTCCACTCCAATACTGTATACACAGATAACATCCACTGATGTCCACTCCAATACTGTATACACAGAACACATCCACTGATGTCCACTCCAATACTGTATACACAGAACACATCCACTGACGTCCACTCCAATACTGTATACACAGAACACATCCACTCCAATACTGTATACACAGAACACATCCACTGACGTCCACTCCAATACTGTATACACAGAACACATCCACTGACGTCCACTCCAATACTGTATACACAGAACACATCCACTGACGTCCACTCCAATACTCCAAAACAGTGTCTTTTGGAGAGTTGTACCAGGTCCAGTGGGCCTAGAAGAAGGTGGAGTAGTGTGTGTGTGAGTTGTACCGTGTCCAGTGTGTGTGTGTGTGTGTGTGTGTGTGTGTGTGTGTGTGTGTGTGTGTGTCGGCAGGCAACCGTATTGTGCAGTAGTGCATGCCCGCTTTACCACGTGCTTGCATACACTCGCTTACAGCTCACTGCCGCCGGCTAGCCCTTGTGGTGAATTGGGGAGCAGCATCTCCTTGACCAAGACTCCTCGTGGCGGCACACGTTAACGGGTTGTCTTGAAACTCCAGGCTAACCGGCAGGGGATCTCGGAGCAGCAGTGGGCCCCAGAGATGCATCTGTACAGGCCCACCTCTGTGTGGACACGCCCTGGCAGCCATCAACCACTGCCCCGCTGCCTTGTGGGTTAGTCGGACACTCCGGAAGACCTTCAGTCCGTCCTTGTAGCGGCTGTGAGGTTCTATAGCAGGATGGGGCTGTCTATCAACACCACCAAGACAGAGGTGGTCTGCCAATGGAGATCCAGCCCTCCACCCACCATGCCCGTCTTCACCATTGAACACAAAATCACTGGCAATAGTCCCGTCCTTCAAATACCTGGGCAGCATCCTCTCGGAGGACTGCAGCATCGACCTCGAAATTCAAAAACAGGATCAAGCAAGCATCAGCTGCCTTCGGGAAACTCGGACGCAGGGGGTCTTCCAAAACGGGGATCTCCGCCTCCACACCGAAGTCGCCGTCTATCAAGCCGTCTGCATCACCACACTTCTGTACGGCTGTGAAGCCTGGGTCACTTACAGTCACCACAACAAGCAGCTCGAGCGAATCCACATAAGATGCCTGCAGCGCATCCTGGGAATCACCTGGTGCGACCGTGTGCCCCATACAGAAATACTTGCTAAGACCAACTGCAAGAGTATGGAGGCCGTGGTCACCCCGACACCAACTGCGCTGGCTTGGGCACGTCATTAGAATGTCTCGGGAGCGCTTGCTGTGGAACGTCCTGTATAGCCAGCTACACCTTAGCCGGCGGTCTGCAGGGGGGCAGATGAAGCGCTGAAGATGTGCAACATCAAACCCACAGACCTGGAGGACGCTGCTGCCGACCGTTCTACCTGGCGGCAGCTCTGCCAGAGCGGTGTACAGAGGTGGGAGAAGGAGAGGAGCACAAAGAAACAGCAAAAACAGCTCAGGAGACATACAGCCATGCTGCCCCCTGCCAACACAGACTGAGACATACAACCATGCCTGCCCCTGCCAACACAGACTGCAAATGCCCCATCTGCAATAATGTTTGTGGATCTCGGATTGGACCCAAAAAAATTGTCACGTGACGAATACAACATGTGTAGACCTTACCGTGAAATGCTTACTTACAAGCCCTTAACCAACAATGCAGTTCAAGAAATAGAGTTCAGAAAATATTTACGAAATAAACTAAAAGTAAAAAATAAAATAAGTAACACAATAAAATAACAATAATGAGGCTATAAACGGGGTACCGGTACAGAGTCAATGTGCGGGGGTACAGGTTAGTCCAGGTAATTTGTACATGTAGGTAAGGGTAAAGTGACTATGCATAGATAATAAACAGCGAGTAGCAGCAGTGTAAAAACAAAGGGGGGAGAGGATCAATGTAAATAGTCCGGGTGGCCATTTTGATTAATTGTTCAGCAGTCTTATGGCTTGGGGGTAGAAGCTCTTAAGAAGCCTTTTGGACCTAGACTTGGCGCTCCGGTACCGCTTGCCGTGCGGTAGCAGAGAGAACAGTCTATGACTTGGGTGGCTGGAGTCTTTGACGATTTTTTGGGCCTTCCTCTGACACCGCCTGGTATAGAGGTCCTGGATGGCAGGAAGCTTGGCCCCAGTGATGTACTGGGCCGTACGCACTACCCTCTGTAGCGCCTTACGGTCGGATGCCGAGCAGTTGCCATATCAAGCGGTGATGCAGCCAGTCAAGATCCTCTCAATGGTGCAGCTGTAGAACTGTTTGAGGATCTGAGGAGCCATGCCAAATGTTTTCAGTATACTGAGGGGGAATAGGCTTTGTCGTACCCTCTTCACGACTTTCTTGGTGTGTTTGGACCATGATAGTTTGTTGGTGATGTGGACACCAAGGAACTTGAAACTCTCGACCCGCTCCACTACAGCCCTGTCGATGAGAATGGGGGCGTGCTCGGTCCTCCTTTTCCTGTAGTCCACGATCATCTCCTTTGAGGGAGAGGTTGTTGTCCTGGCACCACACTGCCAGGTCTCTCACCAAAGAATTCACTGTTAACTCAGAAGTGAAGTCATCATCGGATACGAGGGACTACCATAACGTGTGTGCGAGTCGTACCGTGTCCAGTGTGTGTGTGTGTGTGTGTGTGTGAGTCGTACCGTGTCCAGTGTGTGTGTGTGTGTGTGTGTGTGTGAGTGAGAGAGAATGGTACCGTGTCCAGTGGGCCTCGAAGAAGGCAGAGTAGTATACGATGGTGGGTAGCAGGGCGGAGAACGCCCACAGCAGCAGGGTGGGGAAGAACTGGGTCACAATGGGGTTCTGGAGGAGGAGAGGAAGAGAGGAGAGGAAGATCGGTGGAAGGGGTGGAGGAGGGAAGGGGTGGAATATTGCAGATTAAGGTTAACAGTTAAGGTTAGTTATAGTACACAGACTAACGTCCTTTTCACACTATGGTGTCAACCAAACCGTACTCTGCCGGCTCCTTTCCAGCACAGTTACAGCAATTACGGTGGGTGTGTAACCAGGCCAGTGCAGGACAGCTTGGCTTGACTCGGCTCAGTAGTGTGAAAAGGCTCAAACTGATCTGCGTCCCAAATTGGCACTAAATAAGGAATAGTGTGCCATTTTGGGAAGCACCCTGACATTTGACCTCCTGAGCTTCAGAAAGAGAGGTCAAAAGGTGACTCACGTTGAGGTACTCGACAGGCTTGGTGACGTTGAACTTGTCCATGGTGGAGATGATGATGGCGGGAGTTGTGAGGAAGAAGAGGAGGAGGAAGAGGATACAGTTGATGATGAAGCATCTCAGCCACCAGGGGAACCCTCCTACTGACAGATGCTCCCTGGGAGAAACAAGGAGAGGATATGTCAATCAATCAATCAATCACCAGGGGAACCCTCCTACTGACAGATGCTCCCTGGGAGAAACCAGGAGAGGACAGGTCAATCAATCCAAGAATATCGTCCAAAAAGGTTCATACACATTTTGACAGATGGAATTTCTTGACTTTTCCACAACTTCTCCATTACTTTTAACCAAATTTCCACGACCAACGATTGGCTGAGTCTCAATTGGCTGCGTCTCTATGTACATACGGAGCCCTCCGTAATTATTGGGACAGTGACACGTTGTTGTTTTGGCTCTGTACTCCAGCACTTTGGATTTGAAATGATGCAATGACTATGGAGGTTAAAGTGCAGACCGTCAGCTTTAATTTGAGGGTATTTTCATTCATATCGGGTGAACCGTTTAGAAATTACAGCACTCTTTGTACATTGCACCCCCATTTTAGGGCATCAAAAGCATTGGGACAAATTCACTTATGTGTGTATTAAAGTAGTCATAGCACTCAATGATTACATCAAGCTTGTGATTCTACAAAGTTGTTGGATGCATTTGTTTGTTTTGGTTGTGTTTCAGATTATTTTGTGCCCAATAGAAATAGATTTTTTTTTGTAAATTACAATAGAATATGATTCAAAACACTTCTATATTAATGTGGATGCTATCATGATTACGGATAGTCCTGAATGAATTGTGAATAATGATGAGTGAGAAAGTTACAGACACACAAATATCATACCCCCAAGACATGCTAACCTCCCCTGTTATTGCAATGGTGAGAGGTTAGCATGTCTTGGGGGTATGATATAAAATGCTAACCTCCCCTGTTATTGCAATGGTGAGAGGTTAGCATGTCTTGGGGGTATGATATTTGTGTGTCTGTAACTTTCTCACTCATTGTATCATTTCAAATCCAAAGTGTTCGAGTACAGAGCCAAAACAACAACAAAAAATGTGTCACTGTCCCAATAATTACAGAGGGCACTGTATTAAAAAAAAAAAGTATGCGTAATGTGGTATCGACACTGAAAAGCCTGCTCTTTGATCCCATGTACCATCTCCTGTCGTCGAGAAAGGCACTTAACCCCCAACAAAGTAGAATACCTGTTAGGCAACTGTATAAAACACCACGTGGTTAACCCCTCAGTCTGGAGAGCTGCTGGGTGTGCAGGCTTTTGATCCAGCCCTGCTCAAACACATCAGAGTTTTATCAAGGTCCGGTTGAGCAGCTCATTTCTAAAATGTGGTTTGTTAGAGGGGGACTGGAACAAAAGCCTGCACACCCATTAGCTCTCCTGGAGGATGGTTGACCACCCTTGATGTAAAACATGGCAACATTACAACCAAATGTGTGTTATACCTTTTGAAATAATTCACTCATTCAATATATCAAAAGATCAAATGGATATGGTAGGCTACAAATATTTTTATTCAGCTGAAGCAAGCCCACACATTTTCAGGAAATGTACCTTTTCTAGTTTAGTCATATTTATCTTAGCCACCGTAGAAGTGTTTACTTTGCAGGCTGACTAGCACCTATTGAGTTAATGTCTCATACATCATTCAATATACAAATCAACTGGAAGTATCTACAAAACAGGTTGAAGCCACATAATCCAAAAGAAAGGCTATATCTAATCTTTTTTCCTAAAATTCATGTTCACGATTCACACATTATTATTTTGATTCACATGATTCGATTCACCACGATTGAACCGAATCCCAATTTATACAATGGTGAATCGTTCAAAAAAGTAAATCAACTTTGTACGGCCTTATTCGCGAGTGTCAGTGGAAAGTTTTTTGGGACATGACGAAACCATTAATACATGCTAATAATAGCTAAACAGTTAACTAGAGGGTACAAGATATGTTTTGAAATGGCTACCTAGTTAACCTGTTCTCGATCATATTTTATAGGCCTACTTGCTGTAGCAATGTCCGACTGTCTCTCTCTCCTTGAGCAACCGCCCACGCCTCTCGCACTATGCAGGTGATGCGCGCAAACAGATGCGCTATCATTCCGATCCTGGCTGATATGTCAATTTTTATTTGATTTATACAATTATTTAAAAACTGTGCCTAAATAAATTACATTAACAGAAATTATTAAATTAATTTCCATGACTTTTTGGATTTTATAATTTTCCAAAACATTTCCAGGCCTGGAAAACACCATTTAAAAAAATGCCATTACTTTTCCCGGATTTTCATGACCATACGAACCCTTTACATATGTCACAGCGAACAACAGAAATGTGTCTTCTGCTCCGATCTCAACCCTCCCAGACAGCACACATACAGTTGAAATCAAATCAATCTAATGTATTTAGAAAGTCCTTTTTACATCAATAGGTTACTGCTTTACAGTATCCTGGCCTAGACCCTAAAGAGAAATCAGAAAGAATCACAGTTGCATGGAAAAACTCCCTGGTCACAGCCGGTGAACCTTATAATAAAAATAATAATATGCCATTTAGCAGACGCTTTTATCCAAAGCGACTTACAGTCATGCGTGCATAATTTTTTTTTTTTTGTGTATGGGTGGTCCCGGGGATCGAACCCACTACCTTGGCGTTACAAGCGCCGTGCTCTACCAGCTGAGCTACAGAGGACCACCTTCAAATGCAGAACTGAATCCTAAATCAAGATTGGATATGTTAGATATACACTGCTCAAAAAAATAAAGGGAACACTAAAATAACACATCCTAGATCTGAATGAATGAAATAATCTTATTAAATACTTTTTTCTTTACATAGTTGAATGTGCTAACAACAAAATCACACAACAATTATCAATGGAAATCAAATGTATCAACCCATGGAGGTCTGGATTTGGAGTCACCCTCAAAATTTAAGTGGAAAACCACACTACAGGCTGATCCAACTTTGATGTAATGTCCTTAAAACAAGTCAAAATGAGGCTCAGTAGTGTGTGTGGCCTCCACGTGCCTGTATGACCTCCCTACAACGCCTGGGCATGCTCCTGATGAGGTGGCGGATGGTCTCCTGAGGGATCTCCTCCCAGACCTGGACTAAAGCATCCGCCAACTCCTGGACAGTCTGTGGTGCAACGTGGCGTTGGTGGATGGAGCGAGACATGATGTCCCAGGTGTGCTCAATTGGATTCTGGGGAACGGGCGGGCCAGTCCATAGCATCAATGCCTTCCTCTTGCAGGAACTGCTGACACACTCCAGCCACATGAGGTCTAGCATTGTCTTGCATTAGGAGGAACCCAGGGCCAACCGCACCAGCATATGGTCTCACAAGGGGTCTGAGGATCTCATCTCGATACCTAATGGCAGTCAGGCTACCTCTGGCGAGCACATGGAGGGCTGTGCGGCCCCCCAAAGAAATGCCACCCCACACCATGACTGACCCACCGCCAAACCGGTCATGCTGGAGGATGTTGCAGGCAGCAAAACGTTCTCCACGGCGTCTCCAGACTCTGTCACGTCTGTCACATGTGCTCAGTGTGAACCTGCTTTCATCTGTGAAGAGCACAGGGCGCCAGTGGCGAATTTGCCAATCTTGGTGTTCTCTGGCAAATGCCAAACGTCCTGCACGGTGTTGGGCTGTAAACACAACCCCCACCTGTGGACGTCGGGCCCTCATACCACCCTCATGGAGTCTGTTTCTGACCGTTTGAGCAGACACATGCACATTTGTGGCCTGCTGGAGGTCATTTTGCAGGGCTCTGGCAGTGCTCCTCCTGCTCCTCCTTGCACAAAGGCGGAGGTAGCAGTCCAGCTGCTGTGTTGTTGCCCTCCTACGGCCTCCTCCACGTCTCCTGATGTACTGGCCTGTCTCCTGGTAGCGCCTCCATGCTCTGGACACTACGCTGACAGACACAGCAAACCTTCTTGCCACAGCTCGCATTGATGTGCCATCCTGGATGAGCTGCACTACCTGAGCCACTTGTGTGGGTTGTAGACTCCGTCTCATGCTACCACTAGAGTGAAAGCACCGGCAGCATTCAAAAGTGACCAAAACATCAGCCAGGAAGCATAGGAACTGAGAAGTGGTCTGTGGTCACCACCTGCAGAACCACTTCTTTATTGGGGGTGTCTTGCTAATTGCCTATAATTTCCACCTGTTGTCTATTCCATTTGCACAACAGCATGTGAAATGTATTGTCAATCAGTGTTGCTTCCTAAGTGGATAGTTTGATTTCTCAGAAGTGTGATTGACTTGGAGTTACATTGTGTTGTTTAAGTGTTCCCTTTATTTTTTTGAGCAGTGTATCTATATCCACAGTAAAACGAGTCCTATATCGACATAACCTGAAAGGCCGCTCAGCAAGGAAGAAGCCACTGCTCCAAAACCGCCATAAAAAAGCCAGACTACGGTTTGCAACTGCACATGGGGACAAAGATCATACTTTTTGGAGAAATGTCCTCTGATCTGATTAAACAAAAATAGAACTGCTTGGCAATAATGACCATCGATATGTTTGGAGGAAAAAGGGGGTCGCTTGCAAGCCGAAGAACACCATCCCAACCATGAAGCACGGGGGTGGCAGCATCATGCTGTGGGGGGCTTTGCTGCAGGAGGGACTGGTGCACTTCACAAAATAGATGGCATCATGAGGAAGGAAAATTATGTGGATATATTGAAGCAACATCTCAAGACATCAGTCAGGAAGTTAAAGCTTGGTCGCAAATGGGTCTTCCAAATGGACAATGACCCCAAGCATACTTCCAAAGTTGTGGCAAAATGGCTTAAGTACAACAAAGTCAAGGTATTGGAGTGGCCATCACAAAGCCCTGACCTCAATCCTATAGAAAATCTGTGGGCAGAACTGAAAAAGTGTTTGCGAGCAAGGAGGCCTACAAACCTGACTCAGTTACACCAGCTCTGTCAGGAGGAATGGGCCAGATTTCACCCAATTTATTGTGGGAAGCTTGTGGAAGGCTACCCGAAACGTTTGACCCAAGTTTAAAGGCAATGCTACTAAATACTAATTGAGTGTATGTAAACCTCTGACCCACTGG